GTGATGGGGCGTGTTGACTACTTCACCTATTTGAGAAGTTGCATCAGCCCCATCAGTGGGTTAATCGCTGACGAAATCTCAGCACGCATACAAAAGGACCGTGTACCATTCTCCAGATTACGTTATCTTTGACATAGATGTTATATCCGGCTATCGGTCAAAGAACGTGCACTGCACAGCAGTAGTGGGAGTGTAGGCTTCTTGGTTTGGGTCTTCGGGATGCTAAGAGCCCAGTGACTGGAGACAATTGGTGATATTGCTCAAAATCGTTCTCAATGGTGCAAGAGGCATTCACTTTTCTTCATTTACCATATCCATTAAACTTTTATTTTTTTCCATGTTACTATTTTTTTCTCTCTTTCACATTTCTGCTTATTAGTCATTTTGAATACCCTTTTCCTGTCTTTGCATGCTTCATGGAATGTGGCGCCTTAAACTTCTGCATTTCTGCGCAGAGTTCTATGTTGAAACTCAGTCAGTTTCCAAGTCATTGAAGGCACAAAAGGCTGCGTATAGTTCTTCATTCTCATTCATTTCGCCAAGAGCCTCCCGACCCATTATGTGTTCCTTTATGTTGTTTATTCCCAGTGTATCATTCATATCACCATTCAGGTTCTTGTCCACTGTTGTTTGCAGTTATCTATGAAAGTTCTTCACTTGTTCTGCGTTCTTTGTAGGTGCGTAGCATTGCATAATTTTAACTTTACTCCGTTTGAGTTGAGTTGTACTGTGACTATCCTGGAGCAGATTGGTTCCCACTTCATGAAAGTTTTCGGTGCTTGTTCGTGGTTGTCGTTTAGGTAGATTATTGGCTCTCCAGTTAATTATTTAGTTTCCACTTCCATTCTGTGTAGTCTCACATATTCCTGGCACTTCTATGCTGTATCTTCTCATTTGTTCTGCAATCTGAGCAGCGTTAACAGTCAACCTGAAGTATGATTCGAACATTTCATGTGACTACTTACTTTTGCTCTCACTGAAAGAAGATACATTGGCTGACTAGGTTCCCGACGGCTTTCATCAGCCGGCATCATGCGTCCTTCCCGATCTCAGTATAGAACAAGTTTATTTTTTCTGTGCTTTGAATTTTCATTAGCAATGAGGTTTTTTTGCAGGGTTGAGTTACTAACTTCAAGTCCAACCTTCCCTCTTTTCTGAGCTTGAGGACAGGTCGCTAAATGAGGCAAGGTCAGGGTCTCCACCTTGAAGGTCGGTGAGATCGTCCCGTGATAATAGGTCAGCCTCTAAGGTCGTTTAGGGTCACATTCATCGGCTTATCTATGATGAAATTGAACAAAAATGAAGACATTGGGCATCCTTAATATAGACATCACTGTTTGTTCTGACTTCAGATAGCAAATCTTCGTAAGATGTTTCACGACTGCATAGATTTGCGTAAATCGCCTTGATTAGTGTGATATTCTTCCTAGGCACCCTCACAGTCAGACATTACCACAGCACCTCTCAGTCGACCGAGTCAAATACCGACTTGAGATATGTCAATTTTGTCAAGTTTTGAATGCCGGAATGTATATGCTCTCGTCCGTGCCTAGTGCTTACCTGATCTTCACGGTTTTGTTTCTTCCTAGCAACTTTTGGTCTATGCGCGGTTTTCGAACCCAGAATTTAAGATGCTATCATAGTTAAGCCCACATGCATTCATATTAACTTTTCCCAATCGTATTACTTTACCAAGAGAACTTACTGACGTCATTTTACATCTCATGCTGTCATTTTCCAAAACACAGTCGAATTTCATTTGTATTATTACTATTTATGAAAAATAAGTTTTCCTTTCAATGACTTCTCATCATAGGTGAATATATGCCACTTTAATTCGTCTATCTGCAAGTCCGGAAAAATTCTTGTAGATCAAGCATAGCGAATTATGTTTCCATTGGATTGTTTTTAGAACTAAAACGGAAGTAGCATTAGTGTTGAATAATCTCAAAGCCCAAGTGACAACTGCTTGAAGGGCCAGTGGCACACGGTCTGTTCGAAATGGCTTTTTGAGTTATGCCCGTATGAAGTCCTTATCTCCGTCTGCAGACGATTGTAGGATAAGTCGGAATGTACAGTTTTCGAATTTGACCCCCTCCCCACAGAACGTTGGGGGCAACACTGCAGGCTTGTCGGTTGTTTGAGGGAAACACCTTACTGCTGTCACATCACTTCACTGTCAAGCACCCAACGTGGTATACATGACTTACACTGTAGCGGTAATCGGACTTAATATAACTTCCATTTAAGTGATACTTGTGGTGCTATGTCAGCACCTAAAGGGACATTTCTTCTCACTAGTGTATCTCGTTAAATAACTGCGACACGCAAGCCCAACCACCACCTGAAACTAACAACTATCAGTTGAGATATCTTACTCGTATTTAAGACTCTGTATCTTCTTACTATTGCTGATGTTATTTGTATCTTTCTCTTCTTGTAAAACTTATACGATAATGTCACAGTTTTTATGACGACCTAACGAAACTTGCCTTTAGGTTTTGAATGTGTAATCTGTTTCTAATAATAATTAACTTCAAATTATATAATCGTAACCTGGAATCCTAATTTACTAAATTTGCAAAATCAAACTTTTTTTTATTCCTTCACGTTCTCAGTGGAACATAGGGCTTCAAGCTAGAGGCTTGAAGTTTCTGTAGCAGTGTTTATTTTTACAGGATGAGGTTGCTAGCCTCATGCCCAACCTTTCCTCTTCGCCAGCTTTTTAGTTCTGGCTTAGTGAGGTGAAGGAGTGCGCCGGTCGGGTATCGAACCCCGAACCATGTGCATGGTCGGCGAGCGTCCCAACCGCTGTGCTACCGACGCACTTGATTGAGGAAAAATACCCTGTTGAGTACAATGTTTGTGTTTCCCGGGACAGGCTACACTTATTATATGAAAGCTATCGGTAAAATTAGTCGACGAGGTTGAATTAGGTAGATTAGTACTCGAACCCAGGACCCAATGACTGGTATTAAACAAAGGCTAACCCAACAACACTATATGGTGGTGGTGGACATACGTCCCGATCACATATTTGTTTGGTCTAAAATATATAGACATATAATCAAAACTCGGAAACCTTTTTGTGTAAATAATACATAATAAACCTTTGGTGCGTTTAGTATCTGTAGAGAATAAAACTAGTGTTTCAAAACATTGAGCAGTAGGTGTGATGAGTTTTCGTCTACAATGCCGATGAGTAGTAGTCCCAGATGAGGCTGACGAAACAGCTGTCCAATACTCCTTAGTTTTCGATGGTTTTCTAACTGATATCAATCAATCTATGGTCCAATCTTAAACAAATAAAATCCCTACAAACTAATTCTGATGCTCGATAGTGACTGGAGGGAGTTTCCTGGAGTTTTAGTGAGAAATCGTGACTAATGAAGTCCATCCAGTTGGGAGTGAGGGTGGAGTTCCCGCCGATGACATTGGTTGGTGCCAGTTGCGCTAAAGTCACGAATTGGTGGAAGTCAGGATTCATGGGATGGCCATTGAGGAATCAGATTCCAGTGGCTGAATGGTATATGAGCTAGCTTGCCTTGTAACCGGATGTTCCTGGGTTCGAACCCTGGAGGTGGGTGTGCACTGTCGATTAGTCCGAAACTAAGCTGACAAAACAGCTGTCCAGTCTGTCTGTCTGTTTGGATTCAACGTAGAACTTGGCACCGAAGTGCAGCAGTTCAACTTGCCACGTTCCAAATAGCACACAAAGGTAGACAAGAAGATGGATGAGTGAAGAGAATCAATAGAGTTTTGACAAGTATAAGAGTGGAACAGAATGAGTAATGGTAGAAAGGAATATGAAAGATTACAGAGACTGAATACATCTGCGTAAGCCATTGACAACGATTTTGAGCCATGTCACCTATTGTCTCCAGAAATTGATTCTTAGAGTCCCGAGGCCGGGCCCCAACCCGGAAGTCTGCATCTCTCTACCTGACTCAGTTTAACTGTCAAGGATTTCATGGATTGATTGATGCGATGTTTTTGTTTGTCCATCACTTACTCTTTTCCAACCTGCACCTATATCAGCTAGTAATGCCCGTCCGTCGGGGGAGGCGATGGTTAGGCATTCGCAGCACGTGACCTAGCCATCTCAATCTATGTAACTTTATGGCTTCGTCGATTGATTTTCCCTCTTTGCCCAACCAACACTCTACGCCTAACGTCAACATTACTTATCTTTATATATATGACCTAACGTGAGAAAGAGATCGTAGACATCTATGATCAAAAACAGTCAACCTTTTCATGTCTTCAACTCGTATTGGCCATGTTTCAGAGCCATAGAGAAGGACGGAGCGAACTGCTGAGCAGTACACACGTCCCTTGGTTGATAGCCGGATGTCACGCCTACACCAGAGATGGCGTAAGTTAGCGAAAGCAGTTCGAGCTTTTTGGATCCGTGCTGAGATTTCGTCGCCAATCAGTCCGTTGGTGCTGATACAACTTCCCAAATAGGTGAAGTGGTCAACATGTTCTATCACTTCACTCCCTATCACTATCACTAAGCTAGGAGTTGACGTAGTCCAGTCAGTCCTGTAGCAGCATCTTACAATTTACAGGGGTGAATCGCATGCCAAACATACGAAGATTGCTGCTCAAGGTGTTCAGAAGACTCTGCTGTATTTTGTCAGCATCCTCCCCTAACAGGACTATGTCATCTGCATATTCTAAGTCCATAAGACTATTCCCTGGTCACAAGCTCTCCATGTGGCTAGTTTTTAATGTTGCTCTAACTGCTTTGAATCCGTTGTCTAACCTGAAACAAATGAAATAAAGGATAAAACCCATAGACTATGTAGTCATTTTATGTATTTCTCCCTTGCTTTACTGAAGTATCCTAATAATGTAGGATGATGTAGGTTTTACAAATGACTCTTCTAGGGGTAATTCGTTTTATTTAAAAAGAGTACTGTAATATTGCGTTATATATATGTGTATATGCATGCATAAATTTATAATTGGTGTTTATTGCTCTTTACATTCTCAAGGTACTCACTACCGTATCCAGATCATATGTACTGCAAACATCATCGTTATCAAAACTGGCATAACAATCCTTCTCCATCCTATCGATCTAACAATCAACAGCCGCCGCCCTTTGATCAATTCACTATTGATCAAGCCTATATTACTGCTGATAACTTCCGTCAGTCATCACGTGGGCATCCAATGTATCGATGTTCTCAAGGGCCATCACCAGTTCATCGAATCGCTTCACAACGACATCCTAATTCTCATCCAGTTTTGATAAATTCTTCTAACAACCGATTGAATAGCATAGATAGTCAAGGTCATGCTATGATATGTGATGTTAATGATACAACTGCATTTATAGACTCTATGACTTCAATAGTTCGTAGAAACAATAACAATAATAATAATAATCATCCATTTGGAGAAGATCTTTGCATAGATCTACCATGTACTCATCCTTCATCTACTGGAACGCATTTATCCTCTTCACCAAATTTATCCGGTGTTAATTCTTGTTATACTGGATCAAATCGTGGTGATAATAATAATAATATTCGAACTGTTGTTGATTTTCACACTGTAGTCGATGGTGATCCATCCGGTCTACCAGCTGATGTAGACGATGATGAGGATGATGGTGGTGGTGGGGGTGATGGTGGTGAAGATGATGATGAGGCGGCTAATGTTGATCATCATATAGTGACTGATGTTACTGGTCATCGTGTTTACGGATATTATATGATTGGTTATAGTAATGAAACTACTCCTACTAATGGGCATAGTTCACGTGTCCCCTTGACTAATACTACTGCTGGTGCTCCTACAACTTCTATGTTAAACGATCGTCGTATGCCTACAGGTTCTTTACGTGCTAATAATAATATGCATTCGCGAACGTTGAATCATAGAATGACAACACAACAGCAGCAGCAGCAACATAGTAATGGTGAATCAATAATGACAACAGCAACACCTACAAACGGTGGTATACCTTCTGCTTATACTGTTTCTAATCGTAATCTTAACCTACGCCATACTAATATGAGCAATATTCTCCCTGGGACAATAATGAATCAAGATGATGACAATTGTTGTTTAAGTCCATCTGAATCGACCGCCAATATTAATGATATGCATCATACTATTGGTTCGTCTGTAGTAACAAATTCTAATGTAATCCTCCCACATTCTGTCCCAGCTTATATACCCGGTCCTGATGAATTTTATACAATCAATGATTCTGATGATTTAGAAATCAATTGGCCACAAGAAACAGTTGCTGGAGTGAATGGTTGAATTGTTTTAGCTGTATTTTATTTCAGTGATATATATATATATATATTACTGAACTGTGAGTTCCCTTCCATCTTTTTTGTTTGTGTACCTATTATTATTATTTATTATGCTGTAAACCCTGAATATCCAGTATTGAGTATTTGGGTGGAAGTTCTTGACGTAACTCTCTCTCTCTATATATATATATATATAGTGTGTGTGTGTGTTCGCATTACAATTCCGTTGAGTCGACAGTTTCTCTTCGCAAAAACAGAGAAAGTACCCCTTGTATACATACATGTATGTCATCCTTCACACATACACACACTCTCTCAGATTTATTTTATTTTTATTTATTTAACAGAAGTTAGCTCTGTAACAGCAGTTTTGAGTACTGCACAATTGTGTGTATAGAGAAGTACTCCAGCAATTTTGACAATTAGACGCCAAATTAAATCGTTTCTTTTTTTTAAAAAAAAGGAAATTTAATTAAACAGTCTTTGCATTCTCTGTATATGTTCATATTCCTTCCTTCCTTCCTTCGTTTTATTTTTAAAAGGAAAATTCATTGTGTTTTTATTATTTTTTTCATCGTATATATATACATATATAATTTTTTTCCACACCCCTTTACTCTACAGAAATATTATGAAAAGGCGCCGAAATTGTAAAGTTCTCTCTTTTTTTGCGCGAATATATATATATATCGAACAATAACAATACCAAAACGAATGAATAATTACAAAAGCGATCTTTGCTTGTGTGTACATACGATAAACAATATTTTCTTATCTGTGTACGTACGTGTACGTACGTATACTCATCACTTCATGCATGCATGCCTATTCACATCACATGTTCAAATATCCCTGTTTTTCTCTCTCACTTTTTTTGCTTTGTGCTTTTTTTTGCATTTTTTTATATCATTAACTCCTCCCTGTTTTGTCTCGCTTCATCTATCACACCAACCCTGGCCACTCCATCCCCATATTCATCAGTTTCATCGTTAGTAGTAATATAGGAGTACTTTTAGTAGTATAATGACTGTAGTAGTAGTAGTAGTAGTAATCGTGGTTAAGAAGGTCACTCCCTCCCTCTTTCTCTCTCTTTATTCATTCTCTAATACCATTCATATATATATATATCTGTCCATTGTGTTTGTTTTACATGTGTGTGTATACGTGTAATGTGCGTCGGTGGCACAGTGGTTAGGACGCGCTCGCCGACCATGCACATGGTCCGGGGTTCGATCCCCGGCCACTGGACGCACTCCTCCCTTACCTCGCCAAACCAGTAATAAAAAGCCGGTAAAGAGGAAAGGTTGGGCATATGAGGCTAGCTAGCAACCCCATCCTGTAAAAGCCTGTAGCTTGAAGCCCTCTCTATGTTCCACTGGGAACGTGAAGGAAAAAAAATAATACGTGTAATAGTTCTTGCTGATAGAGACGATGATGATGATGATGCTGATGTTACTACGTTCTCTCTCTCTCGCCGCGATCTCTCTCCCTGTCTCATTCTCGTTTTCCTTTTATTTCTTCTGGTCTCCAGCAAAAACAAACAACTCATTATGATTTCTTTCTTTTTTTGTTTTGTGGGGGGGATCGGGGTAGACAATTACCTTTCTCTGTTTATATAACATTATTATTGCTACCAGTTATTATCATTCATAATATTATTACTGCTATTATGATTATTAATATTATTCATTCAATAGTATTGTTGTTTGTCCGTGTGTGTGTGTTTTCGACAGCAGTGATTACGTCACCGCCATCATCATCATCATCATCGTGGTAGTCCAGTAGAAAGACAGAGATAGAGAGAGGATAGTGGAGAGTTAGTTGACTTAATTACACTGTGATTAACAAATCATATTTGTTTGAAAGAAAAGTTTTGGTTAATTTTTTCCCTTTCATCATACATAATACAGACATTCTTAACTGTGTGTCCCTTCCCCCCTCTCTCACTTCCCCTGACACATATTTGTAAATAATTTTAGTATATATTATATATACTCATGCTCATAAATCTATTCACAACAAAGAAACCACACACACAAAAGTTTTGTTGTTATTCTTGTCGTCACTTTATTAATTCTGTCTTTTCCTGTAAATTTTTTACTTTATTTTATTTTAACAATACAATTATATAACTGAGCAATAAAGTATATAACAAGAATAATAGTAATAATAATACAGTTATGATAATGGAATAAGTGCATTTGTTAGTTCATTTGTCAGTGTGCGTGCGTGCGTGTGTGTGTGGCGAGTATATGCGTTGTCCTACTTGTTCCTCATATACACGTATATATAGATAGATATTTCTCAGTATTATAGGTTATTCACACCCTCGTGTCATTCATTACTATCATCGTTACGTCATAATAATTCATCATCTCTGTAGATACATGTATATTGTGATAATTAGTGAAAAGAATATTAACTCTGAATGTGATTTAATGCTATTGACACCATCTGTACAGACTGTTGAATTCTCTTCCTGTTAAATTATTGTAAAATATAAAAAAAGTGTTGTTATTATTATTATTATAATCATAATCGAGTTATAGTTAGTTAGAAATAAAAAAAGAAACTGTAAACGGTTTCACTCTTCCTTACAATATCTTTGCTAGTTGATGATTGTAACAGTCTAATCTATGTCATATGACGTTAATATTGATCGATTTGAAGGGAGGATCTAATTTTCAATTTTGTTTGATCGGTTGGAGCTGACACCAGTTAGGGAACCACTCATTGAAAAACCACCAGGGATTACTGGACAACTGTTTCACCCTGCTTTGGGACTCTTCAGAAGCACGCACTCAAACCGCTGGGTTCGAACCTAGGAGCTTCTGTTTACAAGGCGAGCGAGCTCGTAGACCATTCATCAGCCACTGGGACCCGATCCGATGCTCACTAGCGACTGGTCCTATTCAGGCAGTTAACATGGGGTTCTAGTGGGAAGCCGTGATCAGTAGGGAGCAGCAGCAGGTTGAAGGTGAGGCAGTGACTCATCGAAGAAGACATTGCTGAGTGGTCGCGCTATGTCATGAATCGGCAGAAGTTAGAATTCATGGGCTGGCTGGCCATTGGATCGGGTCCCAGTGGCTTAATGATCTACGAGGTCGCCTTGTAATCAGAAGGTCCTAGGTTCGAACCCCGTTGTGTGGGTGCGTACTTCTGAAGAGTTGCAAACTAGGCTGACGAAATAACTGGCTGTCCAGTTTTCCCAGAAGATTTAATTCCTTAAGGTACTTTTCTTTTCGACAAATTCGCATCAGTAGGTTGAAAGCCATTTAGAAAAATGTTACACACAGTTAGAACTTCGTTAATCTGGTATCGTGATCGTTTATGAGCCACATTTTATTTTTATGATGGCTAGTGATATTGCCCAAGTTGTATAGTAAGAGTGGAGCAGTATTCGAATTTAGGGCTCATTGGCTAAACATCAAATGCTTAAACCGATGATGAGCCAGTCTCATCACCAGTATATAAAAATCCGCCTGAGGTATGTGTTGTCATCGAAGGAGATTATTGGATGAATAAAACGTTAAGAAATAGAGAAAAGTTTCTACTATTGTTGTAGATGAGAAGAAAATTATGTAACCCAGTGATTTAAACGGGTCATCTCTCTCTAAGTTTTACCAATAGTCTTCAATAGCTTAAAGGTGATCTACCTATCGAGATTAAGGAATACAATTTATATCTTAGGAACTAGAAACTTGTCTTCCCAACAGAAGAATTTCACGTACTACCTGATAACTTGATGTAATCAGGCTAAAACTCAGCTACTCGAGACAGCTTTCTCGTGTAGGCGAGGCTATCAGTCACACCTGTGAATATGAGACGGCTGGAGTGGGATTCCAACCAATGCATCGAAAGCGGATTGTTAGTATGTGTTTAATAGCTTGAAAAAATATTATTTAAATAATGCTAGTAGTTCTAATATCTGCTCATTTTAAAGCAGTTTGAATTCTTTATTGACCCCATGTCTTTATTTTTTAAATCGATGTCACCTGACCTACCTGTTATCGCGGTAGAAATGTGTGTCTATATGTCTTTCCGTTTAAGGATGACTCATAAAAATATCAATATTTTCTGGATTTATGTTTTAACCAATGGTTTCAAAATATAAGTTATTGCCAGAGAAGAATAGTAATAGTAAGTATGCTATCTTACATAAAAGGATGCTAAGGTGTAGTGATCTGAGCGCGAGCAAACGACGCAGTAACCATACTAATTTAGGTGGAGAAAACAGTATATTTGTGAAGATAAACTTTTCAAGATGTGCAAGAATATCCCTTGTTCACCAATGAGAAGTTAGGTATTCATCTAAATAACTATAGTTTAGGTGCAACAGGCGACGTTATTTATATCATTACTATTATTATTGTTCCTTTGGGTTCCGAGTGGGATGAACATACGCCTTCAGTCGCACCTCTCCATTTCATCCTTTTCTCTGCAGTCCTCCTCAGTTGTCTCCACAATTGCTGATAAGCTCTAATCTCCTTCACATCACTTTCGGATGCCCAGATCGTGGTTTTCCATCCAGCTTCCACTCGTGGGCATGGCGCGTGATATCATCCAATGGTCTCCTAAGAGTTTACCCAATCCATTTCCAGTTCCTTTGGAATATTTGTTGTGCGGTAGGTTCTTGGCTGGTTCACTTCACCGCTTCACTTACATGGGAAGTACCATCAGCCCCAACAGGTTGATCTCTGACGAAATCTCAGCACAGATACAGAGGGTTAGTTTCGCGTATGCCAGTTTACGCCGTCTCTGGTGTAGATGTGATATCCGACTATTGACCAAAGGGCGTGTGTACTGCTCATCAGTCCGCTCCGTCCTCCTTTATTTCTGTGAGACCTGGCCATTGAGAGTGGAAGATATGAATAAACTGGCTAGCTGTCTTTGGTCATAGGTGCCTGCATTCTATCTCCCGTGTCAGGTGGTGATATAATAGGGTGAGCAATATTTAGACTTGGGCATCGGTCGAATGCTATGCAAGGAGGGGAAATCAATTGA